GCTGCTGAAATTTCCCAAATTCCTCCTTCCTCAGCTCCTGCCTCTGTGACTCCTCCCTGTGCTGCTGCTGCCGGGTGCCTGCCCGGAGGCCTCTCCCTCACCCTTTCCACCAGCAGCAGCCTGGGAAGCGCTTGGACACTGCCCTAATGAGAAACCCGCAGCCGGAATTTATTCCTGCAGGAGCCTCCTACATCTTTATCCATAAACACACCCACATCAAGGAGATGCCTTGCTTCCAACAACAGGGACTTTATCCACGCAAAGGGAAAACATGGGAAACCCGGAATCTTAGTTACTTACTCAGACACGGGGAAATAAGTTTGGCTGATGGAAGACCTGGGTGCACGCGTCATGGCTGGGGAGGCTGAGTGCCATGGGAGAGGCTGGGCTTAAAAATCAGCCCTGCAAAACCACAGTTAAATACGGAGCGGCAGAGTCTTGCAGAAACCCCCAGCTGTGCAGGGCTGCTCCCGACAGCCACTGCCTTCAGGAAGCTCCCGTGCCACCACTCTCAGGTGACACGGGGACTCCTGGGAGGGTAAATCCTGCTGCCAAGCATTTTCGGAGCAGATGAAAAGGCTCTTCCCTGGGATGGCTCTGCTGGGCCCCGAGCTGCGCGCTGGGAGCGGCAGCGGGGAGGTGGAGGCAGAACTGCGATGGGGTTACGTGGGGCTGAGCAGGGGGGAGCTCAGCACAAGCCCCCACTGCAGCCCTGGTCCCACGGGGGCTCCCCGTGAGCCAGAGCCGTGGGCAGGGCTGGGAAGCGGGAATGTAGCTCCCTGCTCTGGGATGCACGTTGTAGATGAGGGACTGAGCACTGGGGCAGCAGGAGGAAACATCCAGGGGGGAGGGAGCAGAAGGGCTCCATCTGCTCTTAACTGAAAAGAGCTGAGAGTGACTCCATCACAGTGTGTGAATTCCTTCATGGGGAGAAAAAGACGACTGAAAATCCCTTTAAACCAGTGGAAAAAGGCAGGACAAGAGGGAAGAGCTGGTAACCCAAGTCAAAGACACTTGCAAATGAAATAAGATGCACATTTTTCACTTGGGGATGACTGAAGCCTTAGAGCGGGGAGGAATTCATCCCTGGCACTCTTGGAGGCTGGAAGTATTTAGAGGAGTGGACATCCTGCTGTCCCCAGGCACTCAGAGGAGCTGACCCCAAGTGTGCACCCTCCCCAGAGCTGGCAGCACCCTGCAGAGCACCCCCCGGGAGCCCTGTGCCTGCATAGCGCATCCGTGCCAGGGCCAGGGCCATCCATCGGAGCCCTGTGCCCACAGCGGGCACCCAGCCCAGGGCCCCCAGCACCCAGTAAGCCCAGGAGCCCCGTGGCTGCAGCACACAGCCACCCCGAGGCCAGCAGCTCCCAGCAGGGCATGGCTCGGGACGAGGACACAGGTGCAGGCAGACGGTGGGGCAGCACCCGTGAGGGGTGGGTTCCACAGGGAGGGGACCAAGTGGCAGGGCTCGGTGGGAACAGGGCTCCCCAAGGCAGGGTGAGGGGCAGTGTGGGCAGCGGGGGTGGGACAGGGATGGGAATGGGGACAGGGATGGGGATGGGAATGGGGACAGGGGTGAGGACAGGGTTAAGGAGGGGGACAGGGATGGGGACAGGGGTAAGGAAGGGGACAGGGATGGGGATGGGGACAGGGGTGAGGACAGGGGTAAGGAGGGGGACAGGGATGGGGACAGGGGTAAGGAAGGGGACAGGGATGGGGATGGGGACAGGGATGGAATGGGGACAGCAGGGCTGGGGCCCCCATCCCGGATGCTCTAGGAGGGGATGTGACCGCTGC